ACTCCTTCAATGCATTGGTCAAAGATGGAGCAAAGACAGATGTTGGCACCATCATCAAGGAGAATAAGCGGACGCTGTTTGGGCACAAGCACGAGGTCTGGTCCGAAATGACATGGGGCAAAGGACTGGCGGAATCTCTTGATGCCGCTGAGCGGGCAATGCTAAAGCTCGCCGAAAGGCCTGAGCCCCGGCCGTACGTCATCGTGATCTCCTGGTCTGGAAATGATGTTGTCGGTCGTAACGGTTACATCGACAACCCCGCCGCCCTAGCGGGCTGGGCCACTGACTCCGAGGCAAAGCGCAAGGCTGCGATGGACATCATCGAAAGGAACGCCCGAGCGGTGATGACTGTCCGTGACCGGCTACGACATATTGCTTTTCGGGAAGACGTGGTTCAGGTCGTGCTCATCGTACCCCGGGACTTTGAGACGTACGGATTGAGTGAATCCTATAAGACTCAAATGGACGGTCATGCACGTTTGTTGCACGGTTCAGCGGGAATCACCGTCCTCGACCCCCAGACTCTCATATCCAACACGTCCCGGGCAGACCGCATCCACACCGATGACACCGAGCGCAACAGAAAACACTACATCAACTTCTATGTGGCCGCCGCGAAGCTCGGGTACTGCATCGGCCAAATCAACCGCTTCGAAGGGGCTATGAATTGGTACCGCCTCGAAAGGGAATACATGAACATTGACACATCTATTCCCATCGTTGGCGCTACACCCCAGGAAACTGGCGGTCCGGCAATTGCAAAGAACCCTGAGGACCCTTTCGACAACGAGGTCCGCGAGAGGGAGCTGGAGGCGATCAATGAAATCGCTGCGCAAGAGCCGAAGCGCGAGGTTTTCCTGGAGACCGAAAAGGAGGCAAACCCCCTCTACCCCCTCGACACCGTCAAGGAGGAAGCAAAGATTTTGCAGATGATGCAGCCCGACATTCACGCGGCGACCGTCAGCGGCCTCAACGATGTGATTGATTGGTCTTCTTCTTCGGATGAGGAGGACTTGATCAGCTTCGACCTGCCCCCTGGCTCTCAGCCTAAGGTCAGCCGGCCGAAAGGCCAGGCCGTTGAGGTTGCCGCCGTGGATCCGAACGATGTTGGTGAGGACGGCCAAATCAAGCTTATCCTCACTTCCAAACGGAAAAGTCATAACAAAATGACTGCAGCTCTCAGTGCTGCGACACCAAAGGTGAAATCAAAGGCAATGCCAATGCCTGCTGCCTCATCCAGCGATCAGGCGCCCGTGGCTGGGACCAGCAAGACTCAGCCCGGAGAGATCCGTGGCCCGGAGAACATCCCCAAGGCGAAGGCAGTTTCCAAAGCTGCTGCAAAGCCCGGGGAGACCCGTGGCCAGGCTGCTGAACCCAAGAGGGAGTGGATCAAGTGCTCAGGAATCAAGATTCCCCAGATCCAGAACTATGGCAGAAGGACGTTCTTGAGCAAGAAGGTGTCGTATTTGGTTCGCGGACATGCCCACGAACATGCGACGCGATCCATCCCTGAGATCAATCTCAAGGACAACTCCTTCGACTACGCAGCCGTTGCCAAATGGATCCAACGCCGATATGACTGGAACTGCTCCCAATACACTCTTCTTCAGGCCACGTCCACATCGAATCGGTTCGAGGTCTATGTCGAGTACGCGCCGGCCGGACAGCAATGGAACGGGCTCAGTTTCATGCCACTACGCATTCGCGCGTTCACCGGCCACAACGATTGGGTGACCGAGGCCAGCGCCTTTGACAACATTCCTGGAGATCCCATTGCAATGGATGTCAATTACACCATCGAGCACGCAAAGAAGGGTGTGCGACCGGGCTTCTGCAAAGATTTCTCGGACGCACGCCGAAAGGCGCTGCCCAAAATCGCCTACCACACGTGCAACATGCAGAATTTCTTTGACATCATCTACATGGGCATCTTTCCGGGCGGCATGGGAGACCGGCAAACCTCGCGTGGTCACGCCTACCTAACGGTGGTGCCTCCTTGGGACAGGCACGGCCGGAAGGCGGGGGGTGCGCGTGCTGACCGACCCATCAACATCGCCGTCGACGTGGAGATGTTGATCCAATTGGGATGTCGGCTGTACGCGCCCGGAGACGGGGAAGCCCTGGTGACGGAGGATTGGATCACGAACAAGGTCCTCATCTACGCCTATGACGCTGAATGTGCAAAGTTTATCTGGTCCAACCGGATGTACGTCAGCGTCAGACGGAACTACCAGGACAGCATCAAGAAGTACCGGGAAGAGACCCAGAAGGGCGTTGTCGGGACCCCGGTGCTGGAATCCTTCATGGCGAACGTCGAGAAGGAATGCAAGCTCTACTACAAACAGTGGGCTCCAACGGCGTGCCGCGACTTGACGCGGCCCGATCGCATCGGCAATATCACGAAAGTCAGGGATGTCTTCGACGAAAACCTCCCGAGGGAAGAGCAAGTCATGCTTGAGTTCGAGACTGCCCGCTACGGCCTCTACAGAAATTGGGCCCGAGCTGTGACGCAGCAGCCCGGGGAAACCCGAGGCTGGAGTGGTTTGTGGCAGGACTTGGATCCCAACAAGAAGAAGTCGACGAACTGGCGCTTCGCAGAGGTCATGCACATCCCTGACGTTGAGTGCCCTCGCTGCAAAATCCTCATCCCGGTTGGCACCATCAACTGTTTCCAGTGTGACCAGTTGATGGAACGCATGCCCGATATCAAGAAGATAGCCAGGGTCGTCCGGTTGCAGGAGATGGCCAACTCCTTGGGCGTGCCGCTGTCCATGGACCAGGTTGAGACTCAGATTTTGACGCAGCGAAAGGATGCGCGGGGGGATCGAAGCGCAAGAGGGGGCCTCGGCATCATGAAGGACATTGCCAAGAAAGCAGTTCTTCGCAATAAGGAGTACACCACGCTGTACGAGAGGCTGATCAATGACCCCTTTTACGCCTACACTGCCGCGCGGGGAGACCTGACGCCGTCCGCCCTCGAGTTTATCGAGAAAGTGGCACGATGCATCATTCCGAGTTTCGTGAGAACCAAGGAAATGATCCAAGGAAGCGTTGCTGTGCCGAAATATCACGCACGGCTAACGCTGGTGCCGCCTACGGAGGACGTGCAGGAGGTCGACCCGAAGGACGTCTATGTTGTGCATGGCGGCAGATTTCTGGAACCAGAACAATTTGCTGCACTTTACGGAAGCCTTGACAAGAGCAACCGCTACACCGTGATGGGCTGGACCCGGGATTTCTCGTCTGTGGGAGACCCCGAAATGGTATTGGTTGAGTTGCTCTGCTTCGTTGAAGAGGAGATCCCCAACATCGAGATCCCCGGACGAGCCACCCCGCTCCCTGCAGTTGTCGGTGTGACGCGCAAGCCCATTCCGCAGCTCCGGGAGACCGGTGGCCAATGGCAGGATCGTCAATGGAGCCAGTCGTACTGGGGAAGTTGGGGCCAGTCCTGGGACTCGTGGTGGTCTGATGATCAGCGCCCGTGGAAGAGCTCCCGCAATTGGGATTGGCGATGAATGAGCGATCTCTTCAACAATCTTTTCTATCTTCGGCTGACATCCATTTACATTTCAAATTCAATATTCATTATACTTCTCAATCATGTTGGCCGAGGATCAATGTACAGTGCATGAGCACGCCTCGCGAGAGCGACGGTCAGTGGAGGCGGAAGACCTTAACTGCCGATCGCTCGGATCCAAGTGCTTGTGTGCTGCAAAAGGACTTCATGCCTATCGGGTTTCTTTGGTTGTTTCATCCCTTTCATTTGTCCTCCTGTTTCACATTCGGGCACGGGGGGTGTAGTTTGCAACGATGTATTTATCAACCATGTAAAACCCCAATGCATGAATGTCTCACTTGTGCAGTCTCATCATTACGACTGCATATGGCTCAAGGAAAAAGCGCGCTGTGTACAGGGTTCATTTGTGACCCTTCCTGGTTGTTTAACCTGTTCTATAGGAAGCCACTGACATGCGTAGGCAGCTTCAGGCATTGACATATCAGTTTTATTTTGCGCACTCGCAAATTATCTTCTCAAAGTTTGCGCAGGAAGCACCGCGCCAGCATCTCTTGCTGCTGCCGATCCTTGGGTCGCTGGACTGGGTTCGGCATTTGATCCGCTGAGGAAAAAGGTCAGCTTGGGCGGAGGCTTCAGGTTTGTGCCGGCTTTTTTAGGTTTGGTCCCACATGTGTTTGGGGAGCTTTTGGACCGCACCACCTCCACACCACAAGGTTGTGCATGAGCTTCATGGAGTCTTTAAGAATGCATTACGGTGAGTTTGTCGATGAGTGCTTCTATTCTTGCTAAGCCCCCTTTTTTGCAGAGTAACTCGGAGGCTGGATGGTTTGCTTGCCATTGCCGGGTATATCCGCTGGGTGAAGCGTGTAACGGCTGGCAGCTACAGCGAAGGGGCTGTGTTGGCCTTTCGCTTCTGCTTCTATTTGTCTGGGCTGTCCACAGGGCGAGGGCGACAAGGCTAGTGGCTTCACGAGGTGTCTCACGATGCCGCAGTGTTGCAGCCTTTCTGCAGTGAGCTTGTTTTGCTCGCTGGAAAATGAGTTCAAGGTCCTACTTTATCATCACGTGATGCTGGCTGTGCCGCGCTGTTCACTAGAGGGTGGACAAAAGGCAACACCAGTCGAGCTGCCAAGATTTGTGCTTGATGATATGCGCGATACGTATCGAGATAGTGGTTTCATTTTATTGCACTGCCGTGAATACGTTGAACGCTCCAGGAGAATATGGTGATCAGTTGCACAATTGTTTGTTGAGGTTGTTGGTTGCTTCTGGTTTGGTTCCAAACTGTCCATCAAGACACCCCCAGTTCTACTGTCAAGCAAGTTGCGAGGCAAGAGTAGAATGTTCACACAGTTGATGAAGCTTGCTTGCAAGGATTCTCGCTTTGCGGCTGGACTTACTGCTTTTGTAGTTTTGACTGAGGGAAGCGCGGAATGCTGCTGCTTTGATCGCCCATCGAATCAGTTCGGATGCTGCCGGTCAGGGGCAATGGCCGCCAGCGAAATGCTACACCTTGGAGGATGAGGAGGCAAGAATCTGGTCGAAGTTCAATAGGCGTCCAAGGCCTTGTGGAGCCTTGCGATTTCGGAAGCTTGTTTCGGGTGAAAGACTTGTTCAGGCTTCGTTCTGTTGTGTCATGTCTTACCCATGGGACGACAAATGCTAATGCGCTGCTTGCCATTCTAGCCTTTTGTTTCTATGTTTGATTTAATCGTATCTTAGGTGGCTTCGCTGCTTGCACCCAGTTGATTTTAGGCTTGGTGTTTTGCAGCAACAGGGCAATGCAAGGAATATCCAAGAATCAACTTATTCATGCGTTCCTTTGAGGGGCCTTGTTTGGTGCACCTTGGAAGTTGAATAGTTCCTGACAAGTGCATCGTTTTGCTGTCCATTGAGCATTGCGGCCCTGGTGAAGTGCAGCATTCGATAAGAGTTGCCAGGTGGTCTGCTCGGACAAGGACCGGCAAGGGGAGTGGACACACTTCGTGCCTTGTGCTGTCGCTTGCTGCGCTGCGTATGACATTTTGCAAAACATGCACACTGCTGTGGGGCCATGCCGTAAGATCACCGGGTACGAGTTCAGATACCCGCAGAATCTATACCACTGGCCATTGTTGAAGTAGATATATACCCTGCAGACTCAATGACAAGAACAATGCCTGATTGCATGCATCATTGTTTCGAGTACTTGAGGTGATATCACGGGGGCAGCACATGTTGTTCACCCTTTTCGAACAGTTTAGCTGATGTCACACAGAAACCTGACCGAGTCCATGGGTTATCGAGTCCCTAAGGTCAAAGACGCCAAAGGGGGAAACTTATCCGACAGGACCTTGCAGAGGCGATGGAGTCGCAGAGCGTCCGCTCGCGTGCTTGGCAGACGGACGTTTGGGACGCTTGGGACGGTGGTTCCATGAGACGAGTCCCTGAACTGCAAGGGACAATGTGGTTCTTAAACAAATACATCGCTTCGAGCAATCCCCACCCTCAACACTCACGAGCTCACGACCGTTACAACAAATTCCTCCGCATCCTGGAGAATTCGACCCAAATTCCCATCGGCCGTTTTGGACATTGAGCAAAACCAGACTGGCAGGATACTGGCCGGATACTCGGCAGGATGCGAAATACTCGGCGGGATCCACTGGCGAGCCGCTCTGGCGGGATACTCGGCAGGATCCACTGGCGAGCAGCTCTGGCGGGATACTCGGCGGGATCCACTGGCGAGCCGCTCTGGGGGATACTCGGCGGGATCCACTGGCGAGCCGCTCTGGCGGGATACTCGGCGAGCAGCTCTGACGGGAGACTCGGCTCTGGCGGGATTCTGGGTGGGGGCGTGGTGTAGCAGCATTGCAAACGCGGATTCCAACATAAAATCCAGCAACTCCTTCCTGTCGGGTGGGGAAAAAGAAAGAGCGCACGCACAGCTGGAGTGGGCCCGCCCTGAGTGAGTGCTGACCAAAAAGAAAAGCACGCGGCCGTCCTACTCAGGACATGCGCGTTGGTGTTTTAGAAGAATTGAATAATACTGACTGCGCTTTGGAAAGATGTGCTGGTGGCAACTCAACCTGGTTGCAAGGTCCGCGTGAATGCGTTAAGACTAGTGTACTCTCAGGATTGGTAAAGGGTGAGCTCCGTTGACCGCATTTTTGGCAGGTCGGTGATGCACCAAGAAAGTACTTGTTCTACTTGTCTGTTAAAGTACTGGGCACAGGTTCCGCGCTTGCCCTTCACCAAGGGTTCCTTACAAAATGTATTTCGGCCATCTTTGGCCAATTCGCAAAGACCCACCTTTGCCAGCGGCTGGTACAAATCCCCTAACGCAAAGGGTGGGATTTCTTGATCCTCCCGAAAACCATGGGAGTTGAGGACCTGAGCTTTCGGTCGCGCAGCTTCTTGCCAGGTGCCGGCTCTGGTGCTTCGCTGCCTTCGCGCCGCCTTGAAGTGGGGATCCAGTCGTCGGATCTGTGGGGAAGCTTTGGCGCGGGGAGGTTCTGAGAAAGTTTGGCTGTGCAGCTCAGAAGTTGTTTTTTTGGGTTGAGTGGGGGCATATTTGCTGAGGGTTTCCTGGAGATGCTCTGATTTCGTTCTGTTTTTGTTGCTGACGGATGTGTTCACCTCGGGTCATATGAGCCTGCGTGTGTGGTCAATCGCAACACCGGAAGCTTCTTGGTGGGGTGCGCCGGGCCTGGGGCTGGCCCCGAGTATTGGTTGCCAGCGGCGAAACGATGCGTGTTTTTTGGTCAATGCCTCGTTTTTGATACCCTTATCAAGCAGTCATGCGCGGCGCAAAGTCCAAGCAAGATGCTGGGCAGCATGAATCACATAGCATAATATATACATTGTATAGTTTATGTGTTACTATATATATATATGTAATGACAACAGCAGGAATCGCAAGGTAATTTGGAAATGTTAGACTAGCCTGCAAGCCCTAGGCTCATAGCGTTATATCGCATGTTGATGCAACTTGGAATCGTTGCTCTGGAAATGGAAAGCTTTGTGCTATGCAAGGTAATTCCCGGTCGAAAGGCAGCCCCTTGACCATGCCTGCCTTTCTCTTCCAGGTGGTTAGGGGTCCCTCCACTTCCCGGTTTTTGAGGCTTCAGAAGTGGCGGTACCAGTAAAACGCAACTTTTGAAGGAAACATCCAGTGACCCCGGCTGCTGGGCCGAGTTCTTGTGACGTGAGCTAGGTGCCCGCAAGGCTATGGCAGTGCCTCCGATGCGGCAGGGGCCGCAGACGATAGACGGGTGCTCCCATGTAGAAAAAAATGCGAGAAAAAAGGTCGGATCAAAGATCAAAGAGGAGGACAAGCTTACAGGCTTTTTAGGCTGTTGGACTGTGGACGGTTGGGTTGCGGCTGTTGGGCTATTGGACTTTTGGGCTGTGGGGCTGTTATTCTTGCGCACGTAGCGGATTTTTGTTTTGAGCTGAGGCCCTTGCCTCTCTGATTGAGCGCTTGTTCTCCATCGCCCTGGTGGCGGACTGCCACGCCGCGGGCCCAAGCTACGGCACAATAGCCTGCTAAGTGGTTTTCCCTGGACGGGCCTTTCTTTGTCACAGGCGCCGGCCAGGTAATGACTTTTCGCTAAACCTGGTTTAGCGAACAGTCAGAGTTGCATTGCCATTCCACATGTCATTTTAAAATGTATGCACATATCGCCAGAACAGCAAGGAACCTCGGGCACCGAGCAAGCCGGGCACCCCTGTAATAACTTCCAACCGCCCTCAGACAGAACGCCTGGTTAATTACCTTTTTTTTACAAACTCGGAAAATGCAGTCGCATTCTCCTGGCTTCCGATTTCTGGTCTCTGGGCAGAGGGGCCGCAAAGGAGAATGTCAGGAAATGATCGGCAAAGTTGGGATTTATCCAGAGGATCCTCAAAATTCAAAATCTTGTTGTTTTTGAGGAGGGTTTGTCAATCCATGCGTTACAGTACAAAAAGGCATCGTTTTTGCCTCCTGGGAATATTGCAACATGCTTCTTGGCATGCCCAGAAGCCGCTTGCAATCTTCGCTGAAACGCCTCCCTGCACCAAGCTCGTGCCGGAAAAGTATGGTGGTTTTGTAGATGGCAGACCTACTGAATCAATCGAATTGAAGCTTGTGAGCAAGCAGCGTCGTTTGATTGCAAGACATACTTGTCACAGAGCCAGTAGAAACATTCGATTTCAATGTTGCTTCCTGGCTGGCTGGTTGGCTGGCTGGCTGGCTGGCTGGTTGGTTAGTTAGTGGCTGTTGTTTGAACGGCACGCACACCTTTTTTTTGCCATGGTTGCAGGTTGGCCTGCCATTCCTCCGGGAGGCTGGCCTCCTGTTGCGAAGGCGGGAGCTTTCCGTTGAAAATTTACCGGCCTCTTATTTGGTCCACACCGACTATGGGTGTGCCAAATGCTCTTAAAGCATTGAGCTGACACACTCTCCGTTCTCTGGAACGTGCCTTGTTGTGTTTCTACTCTGTGGCCGCGCCAGAGGAGCCTACACACATTTCGCGGTTAGTAGTCAGGCTGCTGAGTGAGGCAGAAGTTGATCAAGTGGGCCGCAGCATACGGGTAATTAGCGTGCGGCACAACTCACCAGCATCAAACATCAAGGCGCTACTCCTTTCCTCTCCTCACCACCCCACACCACCCCACACCACCCCACACCACCCCACACCACCCCACACCACCCCACACCACCCCACACCACCCCACACCACCCCACACCACCCCACACCACCCCACACCACCCCACACCTTGCATGACCCCCCTGGTATTTCCATAGGAGACACCGGTTTTTGAGTTCCGCCAGTGTTTTCGTGAGGCACCAGCGCTTGCACACGCTCCTCGACCTCGAGGGCGGCATCTTCGGCCTCGGGGGCGTGGCAGACACCACGGTGCCGGCACCGGTGGAGTGGGTGGGGACATGGAGCTGCACTCAGGGACCCCCTTGGCTTGGGGGCTATGGGGGAGGGGGGCTATGGGGGAGGGGGGCCATGGGGGGGGCCATGGCCTTATGAAGGGCTTATCCTGGGCATAGGGATAGCCCCTCCCGCCCATAGACCCTAGGGGTCCATGCGTTTGAAAGTCTGCGCGCCAGTTGCATCTCAAATCGATAGGACGAAGTGAGTTCTAGACATGCTACCGGAAGGGTGGTCAGCCTTAGGCTTGCTACTGTTTGTGTGGGCCACATATTTTGACGAGTGCCCATGCTTTCATGATGTTGCCAGCCTGCGCAAACGCATCTAAACAGGATGCCCGGGCACAGATCTTTGGCAACAAGTCGCGCAGTCAGCTCATGCGCAAGGCTAAACAATTGACATTAATACAGGCGGCAAAGATATATATATATATTTATATTCTGTCCCTGTACATATATATATATATATATATGCACGTAATATACGTTTACGCTTGCACACTCTGCAGGACATACAATGAAATATACGGTTCATCCCATGCGTTTGGTTGTGTAGCAGGTTTGTTGAAAGTTAATAATATTTCAATGAGTTTGTGTCAAGTTGCCACATGTTTGGCAGCGTCCCTTACAGGACACGATTTTCGCGGCCAGTTAAACACAGCCTGTCCAATTGATATAGACGCTCCCCTTGTAAAGCAGGCGGCTCTTCAATGTGAGTGTGTCTTTTTTCGAGCCCCTTGGATTTGGTTTCAGATGAAACCAAGAAGGAGACGAGCATTTTGGGTTTTGGGTTTTCTCCTTCAGACAGAGCCATCCGAGGGGAGCCATGCAGGTCACTCTGGTTTGGTACTTCCAGGGCATCGGCTTCTCCCTGTGCCCCACCTTGGCGCAGGCTTCGAAGGCGAGCCGTGTGGAATTTGTTCGCCCAGCTGGCACTACATTCGAAGCATTTCTTGGAGGTCCGGGGCTTTTTGTTCCTGAAAGGCGTGTCCGCTTTTCGCTGCAGACCGCGCAAAGGCGTGCCGTTCTGGTTTCGCCATGGCCGCTGGAATGGTGTTTGCCGTGGGTCAAGGTCAAGTTGGCCCATGGCAATGGCCTGAAGGAATCGCCACGATATGCCCGGCTTTCTCCAGTATCCTGTTTAAGCCTAAGCGCCAACCAGTGCATTTGGCAATTTTTTTTGCGTATTCATTGGCGTGAAGTTCTGTTTCTGGAGGGGCTGGTGCAAGGCTAAAACCGGTAGGATTGTGCAAGGCATGTACGTGAACTTTACTTGGCAGGTTTGATTTGGCCAAGCAAGAGTACTGACAGGGGCATCACCCCGTTGCTCTCAATTCGCTTTGCTTTATCTTTGCAGATCTTCCTCGAGATGGGCTCTAAGCAAACCTAGCCGACAGCCAAAGAGTCCGTTGATCATTCAGTCTAAATGCCCGACCTGGGCGGCATGCACGGATCATACCACAGAACTTTCTCAACTTGTGATCCTTGGCGGGGCGGAGTTGGCCCGGCCAGGCATTGCCTAGCAGCCTGCGGAAGCGCAGCTCAGTCATCACGGACCTGTTCCCTATTCAGGCCTGGCGATTTTTCTCCAGAGTCCGGAAAATGTTTCACCGGATGGCACTTACCAATGATTCTTGATGTTGTAGCATGCGCCTGGACACCCTTCCCGCCTCAAAGATTTGCCCCGGCTTGCCCATGAGCATGTATCTACGGCTAGCTGTGCTGCCTGGGTCTGGGCAAGTCAAGGGATCAAAGGGCCGCCATACAGCGTCCAGCACCTCTCACCACTAGGCGATGCCAAGGGACGTGAAAAACGATCCCTGCTGAAAGGTTTGATGTATTTGATTCAATCCGCGGCTTGAAGCATGTTTCGGCCCGCATGCCTCATCACCTGTCAACAGTACGTGCAGTGACTCATGGACCCTCAGTGGCAATGTTGAGGATGTCACTCTGAAATTGACCCAGTACAGTATACGTAGTAACTTGGGCTATTAGTGTGGGTCGCCAGGACTCTCATCAGTGGCTCGCAGTGGAGGTGCGAAAGCATTTGGAGGCACAAGGGCGGGTGACAGAATCCCTTACCCCCATTGCAAATACCTCAGCAGATCGAGAGAGAGAGAGAGAGATGTTTCCATCCCGTCACGACGTACTTGCTGTGTAGGAGCGGGTTTTGTTGTGTTTTGTTGCCAGGATTCAAAAGTCTTCATTTAACCACGACCAAGCATTGTTGTTTTATGTTTGTTACCTTTTGCCGGGCGCGTTTTTGCTAGAAGAGCTTCTTGCTATTTGAGTTTCTCAGCGAGAAAAAACAAGTGGCGGAGTTTCATCCTTTGCAAGCAATCACGCTTTTTGTTTGAGGGCGGCCTTCCTTGTTGCACATACGAGGTAGTAGCAGAATTTACTGAATCTGACGCCCCCCCCCCTCTTCCCGCTGGGCGAGCCAGCAACCTCCGTGGCACCCCGCGCGCCCAGTGGAATAGCCCGACATGTGGGCTACTTATGTGTTGGTGTCACGGACAAGGGCGCTCAACCATGCACTCTGAGCCACCAAAGCAGCAGCCAAGGCAGTGTTGCAGCAGAATTGCATCATCAGTGAAACACAGCCTCTTCGGAAAGAAACATAACGTAGGCAGTGTGCAAGTCAACATCGCGCACCAGCGCCAGGGCGCAAGCAGGGTTTGTAGCAAGACGTTGGACGTAAATTGCTCTACCCTGCATCGGTGACATGGTGATGGGGTGTTGTCATATTTGGAGCTTGCAGACACGATGCATCGATAACTCATGTTTGTAGTTCTTGTTGTTTCTGTCCTGCGCTTGAAACCCTAAAGCCGTGTTTGGTCCCATCCCTCATGTGCTGATTCACGCGCCCTGCAAACACATACGCCAAGTTGTTTTTTGCCACCCCGTGAAGCGTCATCCATCCAAGCCATGTTGCATTCAACACCTTAGGAGCGCAGAGACATTTGTGGAGTTTTAATGTTGACCTCGCTTATGTTGTAGGAAGGGTCCTGGTCAAGACTGCTTTGGCGTTTTGCAATAACCTCTTTGTCGATGGCAGGCCGCCAGTCCTAGCATGTGGCAACACCGCTCTGCGCCCGTTCCACATGATGGAAGTCAGCATCCCCATACGTTGAGCTTCATCCTAACGTATGGGCGAATTTCCTACGGCCGTTCTCATGCCAATCAATCGGCGGAGGTTGGAAATGATGCAGATGTAGCCTTACTGCCTGGGCACTAGACAAGCTGGTTGACGGTGCGACGTCAAAGAGCCCTGCATCAAGCGGGCTTCTCTCTTCCATGTTTGCAGCCAGGCATTGGCCAACGTGCGCCAGAAGAAAAGCACGAAACCTGCAAGGCGCGACTGGAAAGGGGCGCCGGGATCATTGACTGGAATGAGCGGACACTTGAAGCTGCGTGGCATACAGCTATCTTTGAGTTGTGTGCCAAGCCGAATTTGGATGACTGCGATCCTTCAAGCACACAAGCACACAAAAGGATGATAAGGTAACGCTTGCTGGCTCCAGGGGGTAGCCTTAGGATTATGGTGGCGCGGTCTTGACTTGAATCGTTGATGGGTGTGTTCAATCAGCATAAATCAAAGCCTTCGATGTTGCCACATGCTTTGTGAAGGACTCAAGTACCTCCCTTTCAGTATGGATGAGAAGACTAATTATTCCAGGACATGATGCTGAAACATTATTGCTGCAACTTTGCCACTTTGGCTCACCTAGCTCGATTTGTCGCGCCACATTGCGAGGTTTTTGCTGGCCAGCACGCCTTATTGCTGGCACCGTTCGTTACTTACTTGTTATGAAAATCAGCTTTTTCAATCACAGAATCGCCACAGGAAGAATCAAGACACGTTTTGGGGTTCTTTTGCCAGGCGCGCAAGCTTTGTATCCGAAGCAGATCTGAGAAGCCTTTGCACTTGATCTGAGAGGAAAAGATCAGCTGCGCGTGTATTTGTGCCGCCCCTTTGTTCTCAGACAAGTACGGCATTGGCTTATGTCGGAGGGTCCAATGTGTGATGGCGCAATGGGCAAGCCAGCTGTTGTGCTAATTTCCCCCTTAGACGAGCTTTGTTTTTCAATTATGGGGTGCTAGCTTGATTGTGCAATCGTTGCGAAGTCAGGCCAGGCCTTGCCCAGGCTGAATCGCTGATTGATAGATCTTCGACGTCGGTCTGAAAGCCTGAGCCAGGGGAGAACCATTGATCTTGAAGTGGGGTTGTCGGTAGCCAAGATCTGTTGGCTCTGCCAGTGTGAAATAGGGTGCAACGAATCAATTGAGGTGCTTTTCTCCCTAGAGTAATGGGGGTCTCGGCAGTTGGCTCTATTCAGTCGCCGAAGCTTAGCAAACCTCTCCATACTGGCAGGTCAGTCACACAAAGCTTCGTGCCAACATTGACATGAGCAATGGCAACTCACGCCATCCAACAGGAATGCATGATTGTCACTTTGGATGTATCCGACATGTAAGCTTTGATTTGCCTGGCCGGCTGTGCAGAATGTGGCTTATAGAGATATTCATTGAACCAGCACCGAGGCCATTTTTTCTCTGCAGTTACAAGCTTGGCCCCTCAGAGCAGCTTTCATCAGCTTTCACCCTGCAGCTAGCCCTGGCCAAAGCAATTACCACGCCTCGACGTTGCGCGACTGGTACCTGGATGGCGTTAGCCATGGAAGATGGAGGCGAGAACGCATCAGGAGAACGGCTGCTAACAATGTTCGCGTGAGACGAAGCATGAAACCAATTCAATAGTGCCGTCGGGTCAACCTTGAAGTTAGATGTGAAGCCGAGATCACTTCTCAACACGACGTTTCCCGCCGCTCCAATTCTTATGTGTGGTTGGATCTTTGGACTTTAACTTTGTGGAGCAATGACGGATATTCCGGATTTGACCAAATGTTTGCAGAGGGGTCGCCAGCGAACGGAAGCTTTTGTTTTGCCGCGAGGCATCCGAGGCATCCAGCTCAGTGCTCAACCCAGGCGCTTTGCTTACGTTGTCATGAGACGTAAACTTGACTGCTATTGGGTTGGATCTTTAGATATCTTTACCCAGTAAGTCAGAAGGACCCTCCTAGAAGGGCCGCCTGCCAAAGCACTCTGCAGAAAGGTCCTTGCTGAATTGTCCATTTTTGGATAGTTTTGGGGTAGCAAAAAAAGCAGCTGGACCCCTGCATACGCACACAGGTGTTTTATCTTTCAGACCGATGAGCACTGGTCCTGCACAACTTGGCAGCGTGACATGCAGTGAGAAGCAAGCGGAGCCTGGATTTGCGCATCACAGACTGTTCAAATGTGGCACGACCTATGCCTGGGGTATTGCGACTCAAGGCTTTTAGCCACTTCATCGAGTCTTCATCGGTAAAAGCATGATGGTGACGCATATTTTGTTTTTCCAATATGCACAATAGCAGTTGGTGCATCACATTGTGGAACTTCGGCTTCAATATCCAGGTAAGAGGACGGCGTGTTCCGCGAGGAAGTTCGCTCTGCTCCCTGCAAAGCCCAAATGCGCTCGCGCATACGCACATGCGCAAACACAAACAAACGCACACACGCCACACACAGCATGCACACCTGGACATCCGGCGGACACGCCTCATGCTCATCAAGGATAGGTACAAGTGCGAGCGTAGGTATCCGAGCCCTGCTTGGTATATAGATGTAGCAGCACTGGTTGACCTAATCTTGGCCAGGACTGATGTGGAAACCCAATGCGTATAAGGACCAAGCTAGTGCAGCCAAGGAACAAGTAACGTCCTTCCCTTTCAACCAATCCAAACAGCCTACATAGGCTCGACCTCAAGTGGGCGGTGTTTGAAGCAAAGAAAACTTGCCTAGAGAGGGCTGCGAAACGCCTGTGTAATTGCAATTTGTGCTCACATAAGGAAGGCACAGTGCTGAATCTTGAACGGGCAGCTTTGGATCACTTGGATATGGATATCCTTCTTGAACATGTTCTTGCAGCCACACACCAAATACCCGCGGGTAATGCAAGTTGAGGTTGCGGGTCAAAGCTTGTTTTGTCACGGCCATCAGGTACTCGCATATAATTCTCCCGTTGTGTGCCTTGTGTGTCATCATCACGTTCATGTTGCTGTCCTTCTTCTTGATTACCTGACAAACATGTCGCACTGCACGCTTCGCAAGACATGTGTACTCAAAACATGGGACACACAGGGACAACAGATTCAGTATCCGCGTGACTTCTAGGTTAGCCAAGGCTCCATGCCCACTGTCCAGCATTTTTGACCGCACGCCACGCCGTTTTCCCGTCGCCAGACTTCGAAATCGCGGTACGAGCGCTGCAGGTTGTACTCGATAAGATCATTTGGGTCTCCGTAGAATCCACATTGAATCAATGAAATCCTCACATGTTTCGCGCGCGCATATGCATATACATGCATGCACACATGCATTCTTGCATTGCATGCTGCGAACACACAAAATATATCAAATGTTGTTCTTTCCAGTTTCAATGAAGAGCCCGTAGTGGTCTGCAAGAGTCCAAGGTTGATGCAATGCATCGAGCAAAGGCGTATAGTGGATGGATGAAACCCGGGTAAGCCAAGCAATGGGCCTGGGATGCTGGCCACAGGAAGCACATTCCAAGATAAACTGATATGTTTAATGGGGTCGAAACAATCGACTGTTATCGCACAAGCAGTAGTCCACAAGAATGTTCAAAACGAACCCCAAAGCAAAACTTGCCTCGCCACCGGCCTAGAGACAAAGGGGGCTATCGCTAGGCAGCATGTCAGTCACCCACTCCCATGTATCTGTATAAATTGTGCTCAGCCAACTTGCGGTCATGCCAATCTCAGAGAAAAGATGCGTGTCTCCTTTTGCTTTAGCTTGGCACCAAAAACAGCACAGCGTTGATTGCCACCCATGAACTTTGAATTGCCAAATGGTCCGGTGCCAGGCCAAATCGCCGCGCAGCTCAGTCACCAAAAACCGGGAGCCGTCCGCGCACAGTTGTTGTCCATCTTCAGTTCGCCCAAGCCAGGCCAGGTGGAAACTCCAAACCAAATAGCGCAAAACTGGATACAGCGTGTGAGAACCAATGCATAATGAAGACCTGATACTGAATACAAGCCAACGAGAGTGCCGGATACTTGCCGGGCGAAACAGCACCAGATTGACAAATATGCCAATTACTTTTTGTTCCGGCGCACCAGCTTCACTGTATCTAGCCTCATCTCCATATAACCCCGCTGGAATAATTCCAGGGCCACCCAACTTAGCCCAAGGACAATAATTACTTTGAGCCCACCGCCAGTAAAAGTCAACATGCTCGGCAGGTGATTGTATATGCTGGTGAAGGTAGGCAAATAGGCGATGGGGTGGCAAAATTGGAAATTTCAGTGAAGTGACCTTGCCCTCATGAGCCAAATCGAAGCATGGAAGCTCAATAATATCCTGTTCCTTTGTTGATCAAGTAAACTTGACAAAGGGAAGAATGTGTCGACAGCATATAATGCAGCTGCGGCTCGACTGGTGGCTTTGCAAATTTCCAAAAATTTCTGGCAGCGTTGGAGGAGCTAAGCTTTGCCTGCTTGTGCGCACCTTGAAGAGCACTCCTTCCAGAAGTTTCCTGTCATCTTTATAAATGTCAGAATGCAAGTCAATATGCATGGCAACAATCGCCCAATCCTTTAAAAGTCCTGCCTGAGCTCGTGCGCTTGCCTTTGCAGATCTCATCACTGAGGCCATACTGTGGCCCTGGAGTGTTGTAAGCGCTAAGTACAACCCAAGTTTTAATTTGCACGTACATACTACACAAACCTGATTTCATGCATGCATGCATGCACGCTCTAACAAACATACTCGACACATGCGCGCCTGCTCGCATACTTTTGAAAGCATATCTCGCGCCACGTAGTCCTCGTCCGTATCAGAGTCAGAACCTGCGTGCGAAAGCTTTGAGAGGCAGAGGAGACTGGTTGCGGGTTTGAATGCAGATGATCCAACTGATACGTTAGTATTCATTGAACATCCTCCAAACAGATCGCCCGAACCCGTGCAATCTGGCTCAAGTTCCGCCAGAATGATGCTTGATAATGCCGCAGCGAGGCGCAAATTTTAGCCACGCCGGTCGGCTGCGTTGTTGAAAAGTGGCAACACAAGTTGCCTGCCTACCTTGCAACATAGGAGGTTCGCAGGATGGCTCCCCAAGGCCAGAATGTGTATGAGTGTGTGTGTGTGCACGCACGTGCGTAGTGTATATGGATGCATATCAAAATCATGTTCACAATTGGTTCTGAAACCTCCTGTGCGTTCTGTATAGTGGGCCAGCCCATAGTTGCATCCATCAGGCACTCCTATGACCCCAAAGGCATGATGTTCAAAAATTGGTACCCAGCTACCAACCAGGCTCCTAAGATTTCTCTGCCGCCTTTGCTTTCGACTTGGCAGCAATGGGGCGGGCAGCATTCTCATACTTGGAAATTCGATCGGCCATCGTGGCGGTGAGTGCCACGAGCTGACTGACTTGGTCCTCCCAAATAAAACGTTTTGGGAATGCAATTCCAAACATGCAGTGCGAAACAGCATGTAGACAGTCCTGATTTCCCAGATCTGTGTCAAGCATCGCCTGCAGGCTCTCCCGGGCTTTCTGCATGTCCCGCACAGAGGCCTCGCAAGGATTCCAGGGGAGGGGGGTGGGGCAAACGAAATATATAAAACCCCCAAGAAAACTGATATCCATAAAACCCACCTACTTGTTTTTGTGGTTTCTGCACAACCGAATTAGGGAACAAATTCCATTCATGATAGATGTCGCCTTGATGTCCTCTTCCACCGCGTCTCTGAGTTTGGCACCCCTCAGCAGGCTTTGATTTGTTTGCAAACTATATAAGTGTTAACTCGATCTATATTGGTTTATCGGCTGAGGCTGGCTGTGTAAGCTAGGCTCCTGGCAGGGTGGACATTTTGTCGCCCAGCTTGTTGGATTCCACGATCTTCTTGCCAGCAGTCTCAATGGCCTTTGCAATGTGCACACAAGCTAGTTTACCCATGGAACGCGTGGGTTTCATGAGGCTTGCACTTTCTTTGCTTTCTTGATGCCATCCTTCCTGGCATCCTCTTCAGCTTTCCGCTTTACTGCTTCTGCATCCATCTCCGGCTTCTTGGGTTCTTTGTCCTGGCACGATGTATGTGGAGGGGTCGAAAATCGTTAACATGCAAATGAAAGCGGTACCGATTGGTCGAGCCGTTGTCAAGGCCAAGTGGATCGAAGGTTAATAGCCAAACATCGATCGAGCTAGGTATAGGGCCCTGCCTGGTTCCATTTTAACAATAAAATTCGTTCTTGTTCAAATCGGACAGGGATCATACTGCGTGCCTGCCTGCTTAGCCTTGCTATTCTTTTTGGCCCGTGTCTTCTTGCGTTTCTTGTCTTTCTCCATGGATTTGCCCTTCTTACTCTTCTTTGTCTTCTTCTTTGCTTTCTTTTTCTGCGACGCTGACGACTCTGATGAGGAAGACTTTGAGAGCGAGCTTGTTGAATCACCTTCGGCTGCCTCATACAAACGGGAGACCACATCCTCTGTGGAGTCAATCTCCACATCACAGTCGAGAGTGAGAAACTGCCGTAGCTCCTGCATTCGTGCATCATGATGTTTCATAAACGCCCAAACTGGCGCATGGCCCTATTCGAAAAGGATCGATCGATCGCCATCAAGCAATCCAAGTCTAGTCATCCCTGTTTCAAGCAATTATTTCACCCGTGCCAATCCCAACAAAATTGACATAGGATTTCGAGTATTTCAATGCGGCCTATTCATGCGATCCACCATAGCCGGACTGATAGGGGGATCCCGGGATCCCAATGTTTGGAACAAGTTTTGGACCCAATGGTTTTTTGGCTTGATCTGGGCCCAGTGCATGATCTCATGATCTTGCCAGGTCGGGCCCTTTTTGCAGGACATCTCCCACGAGCCTCGACATCAGGAGCTTCCGGGTGCCA